GTCACACTGACTATAGAGGAACCTCATAAATTTTGTATCTTGTTTTATTCATTTCACTGCACACATCGTCGATTATACAACATAAACGTATTAATAACATGTTCATCATTTTATAAAAACACTATTAAACCCCTACCCCCATTTATCTCCCACTTTCTATGCGACCCTGTTTCTCACTCCCCTGTTCTTCTCCATCTTCCATTTCATTTCTCTTATCGTCTTCTGCACCGACCGCTATGGTTGGAAACATAGAGTATCAGGGGGAGCACTACAGAGTTGTGGTGATGGAGGAAGGGCAAGAGGACTAGTCGTCTCCTCTCGACCACGTCACGTCTCTTCTCGTTTGGAGCGTAAATTTCAATTTCCATTGATTTTGTAAGGTTTGGAGATTGAGAGCGTCATCACAGTGGTAATCAACTTTTTAATTTCTTTCTTTTGACCTTGAACTTCATTGGTTGATAGTTGCTACAAGCGCAAGTGATTTGTTGCAGTAATACAGAATCTAGAGATTCATAGCTTGTGGAACAAGAACAACTGCAAGGTTACTAGTCTTCTTTTATGCGGTCTACATTTTCGTGCTCTCATACTTGCACTAGACAATTTTTGAAAAACTACCCCTTTCTCCAGGTTAGTTTCCTTCATTTTCCTGCTGAATTTTCTCTTTTACTTGGACCTCCGTCGTTTGATTTTCTCGATGCAAGTGTGTATCTATCAATTGTTAAGGAATCATGGAATGCTTTACGTCCGCTGATACTGATTTTCTATGGGCGTTGTTGAGTTGAAGGTAATCTTAGTCTATTAAAATTCATGATTTTCACAAGTTTAATTAAGGTATTCGATTCTGGGATTTTGGATTGCCAAAGTAACACATTTTGCTGCTAAAGGAAGTTTCAGAGAGACTAGGGGTGGAAACAAGATAAGAATAAAGGGAAATTTTATTGAGACTTATTTATCATCTTTTTACATTCAACTTATCTTTTTTTTTTTTTTTTTTTTTTTTTTATCTTGATATTCCGAAAGTGCCTAACAAATCGCTTTTTACACCCATAATGAAAAAGAACAAAAAAAATAAAATTACAACACTAAGAAATTTTGACCACCCCATCTCTCCAAACCCCAACCACTCTTAATTTCTACCCGTCCCTAAGCCCCCACTGCCGCCTCTCCTACCACCCACAACGAAAACTCCAAAGATCTCAAGCATTACTCACTCTAACTTGTCATACAAGGACTGGATAGTTAGACAAAAGGTATTCAAGAATTTCATTACTCATTCTAATTTGTCGCAATGAAGAACTTTGAGGGACTTGAAACAGGGAATGTGTCTACAAGAGTGTAGACTTGGATTGTCAAAACTCATTAAGTTCTCCCATGCATAATGCAAGAACTGCTCCAACATAGACCTTTTATTTCATTATTTGCATTGATACTAATACGTAATAGCTTGCGGGCAAATGCATATTGTTGGAAGCTAGCAAAACCGTCAGTGAAAAACTCCAACTCAATTGTTTGAACTCTCTTTTCTAATGCAAACTGAATCCAACTATGAATGGAACTTCCATTGCAAAAACCTAGAAAGAAGCAAGCCTTGATACTTGTAGTTGCTGCATGCTTGAGCAGCAAGAGAGAATGTACAAACAAGAAAGATTAGATGGGGATGGTGATGGTTGAGATATTTGGGGTTTTCATTGTGCGTGGCAGGGAATGTGGATGTGGGGGGTTGGAGAGGGGTATAAATTGAGAGTGGTTGGAAGTTGGAAAGATGGGGTGGCAGGAGTTTCTTAGTTCTTATTTTTATTTGTTATTCTTTTTCATTTTGAGTGTAAAGAGAGAATTACTGGGCACATTCAGAATTTCAAGATAAAAAATAATAAGATTAGTGTAGAAAGAGAATCAATGAGTGTAAATAAAATTTCTCAAGAGGATAATAATGGTGTGATGATGTGATAAAGGTTATTTTAGAAATAATAGTGGGTGGAAAAATAGAATTTTTTTTATTTTTTTATTTTTATAGTGAGTGAGATTATAATGTGGTAGGGAAATAGGACAATGAGGTTAGTCTTCTAGTAGCACTAATAATTAAATGCATATAAATTTTAAAAACAAGGGTAAATTACATTTTGCCAATTTTTGCTTGAGTATAATTGCAATTTCATACATCTTTAAAATATTTCATTCACATACTTTTTTTAATATTTCATTTAAACCTCATACAATTGTCTCTTTTTCTAATTAGTTTTAAACATAATAAAGAGTTGGAGGAGGTCGCCGGGATTAGGTGGGAGGGCGACAGTGATGTTTGTAGGGGAAGGGGCTGTAGGTTCCATCTTTTTTTTTTTTCTTCTGGGTAATCTGCTTCAGATCATATATATATATTTGGTTGCCTCTTGTGTTGAAAACAAATATGGGTTTTTTGGGGGTGGGATGTTTGATCATCTCTAGCTACTGGTTGTTTTGGGGTGGGGCGGGGGGTGCGGCGGGTTGGTTACAGGTGAGGCCGTGAGGGGAAGAATGATGTTGTAGGTAAATTGTAGTAGTGGTGAGGCCCATTATTAAATGTTTTAAAAATACTAACATAATTTTTTTGAAATTTTTTTTCCTATGTGGGATGTCAATGAAATTCACGTCAGCAAAAATGTGGGCCTTATAAGTGTAGCGTCATTATTTAACAGTTAAATTGACGGTATGATTACCGAATGTATGAAATTGCAATAAAAGTCAAATTTATGTATGAAATTGAAACGTTTTAAAGATAATGTATAAGGTTGCAATTGCACCAAAATCTAAGGGGGCAAAATGGAATTTCACCAAAAAACAATATAGCAATTTAGTCATCAACTACTTCATACTTTTCCACATTTTATTTAAATTCTTTTTGTGTTGTTTTTTATTTTTTTGGATATTTCAAAATTTTGTGGGTTTTCTTAGGGCTGGGCATTAAAAAAAAAAAAAAAGGACTAAACTGCCAAAACCGCACTAGCGGTTTGGTTTAGTCTGTTTGTTTTTTTTTTTTTTCGTTTTTTAATTTTTGGTGATTAAACCGAATCGTACCGACCTTAATTATTTTGACAAGTGGTTTTCAAAATTCTTAGGATGTGGTTAACCGAACCAACCCAAATATATTTATTTTATTTTTTTAGTCATAATTAATATATATAGTAATATAAATAATTAGGTATTTAAGAGTTACTGTGTACTCACCGCATGAAAACAAAACTTGATTAGTTTAAAAGTCAATTTTCCTTTCATTCAAAAAGCAAACATCAAAAAGGAAAGGCAACCTTTATGTGCCTAAAAAGCATAGAGGAACGAAATTATGAAGGCCATTAGCATCTCCCATCTGGAAAAAGAGCAATCAGCTCTCCCATTTTGGGAGATAGAAGCAGACACAATGTGTGAGAAAAATAGGGGCCATCATTTGGAGAAGGTAGTGCTCTTTAGTGCTCTTCTTGGGCTGCATCATTTATGTTTTTCTTTGAGCTATCACACATCTTAGAGCTTCATTATGTAGTTTTTGGGAAAGAAATTTGTTATGTATTTTGGTCTTCACACAAATCGAAAGACGATCCAAATTGACCTGCCATTGCTGGTTAATCGACCTTATCTGTTTTAGATCCAATTGATTTGTTTCAATTTGCAATTTTGACCCCAAACTGACATAAACCAACCCGCACAAACCCCTAGGTTTTCTTTTGGTTTTCTTCTTCACTTGAAAATGAAAGGTCTTAGGTTTCTTACATCCGTTAAAAAATCTATTAAGTTAACCGTTAAATGATGATGTGGCAAATGTAGCGTTCACATTTGCGCTGACATGGATGCCAACTTTGCACCATGTGAATAAAAAATAATAGAAAAGTATTATTTAATAAAAATCAAATTTTTATAATTAAAAACTTAAAAAGAGGATCTGGGCAGCTTGGTGAAGGAATTTTTTTTTTTTTTTGGTCACCATCCTTAATAATCTAGTTCTCTTCATCAGTTCACACTTTTATACGCTTCCAATCACCACCACCAGAATCTATGATCTCACAGCTTGCTCGTAGCTAGGTCCGTTCCGTCACTCCCGAGTTTGATCTTGACATGACTTAGTAGGGCGAGAGGCAAATCTGGCGCTGGGGCTCCACCTGGTTCAGCCCCAACACCTCGATTCCATCCAACGAGGTGGATGTGGACAACCCCCGCCTTGATGTTCTTGTGCTAGAGCTCCGTGTGGTTCGCAGCTGATGAGGTTTCGAAAAACTTGCTAAGATAGTGATTGACGGCGACGCTGAACAAGGAGGAATCGTTGTCAGTACGGGAAGCTGTAGCAGTGCAAGAGGTTGCTGCGACAGCATCGTCTGTGATGGAAAAAGTCGACGATGGGGGAGAAGAAACAGGAAATAACGTTTCGTTCGGAGAAACGGAAGTAGTAGAGCGACCTAAAGTGCTTTATAGAAAGTAGTCCCATGCAGGGTGCGGCGTCGGGGACGACAAAGCCGGTAATGATGTCGTTGATGGACTTGTTAGAGATGAACATGCATAAGGGGATGGAGTCGAATCAAGGAGGAGGCGGCGGCGAAAGAAGCTTCCCAAACCAAGAATCAAATTTTTGGTTGCAGACAAGCACATAGGAAATGGGATGGAGTCGAGGAGAAGATGGGGTTATTGGGGCAAGCTTTGCCTAGATCCTCTTTTCAATTTTATTAGTTTTTAATTATACCAAAATTGATTTTTTTACTAACTAATCCTTTTTTCATTATTTTTAATTCAAAAGGTGCAAGGTTGGCATCCATGTCAACACAAATGTAGACTTTATTTTTGTCACGTCATCACTTAACGATTAACTTAACAGATTTTTTAACGGATGTATGAAACTGAAAAGAAATATAACTAAAGGTATGAAATTGAAATATTTTAAAAATATTGTATGAAGTTACAATTGACCCCAAACTTGAGGGGTAAAATGTAATTTACCCATGATTAATTTTACACGCAAAATAAATAGAAATAAGGAAAAGAAAACATCCCCAAAACTATTCACAAATATAAACATTGTCGCCAAACATCTCTCTCTGTGGCAAACACAAAACCATGAAACGCCGATTTGAAGGCGGACCAGGAGAATCCGCGGAGGGGGAGAATCCAATTCCGGCCCAACCCACAAAGCTCCGAGGTGAGATTCGGACTCCTAGTATTGGTATTCTGTTCAATTTTAGGTTTTAGGGTTTGTGAGGGGACGATTCTCTGTTTCAATTTTTGCTTTTAGGGGAAGATTGGCAGCAGCATTGTGTTTAATTAGGGTTTCATGCATTTCAATTCCGGCTGCATATGTTTGTTGCAATCTGCACCCTGTTTTTAAGGTTTTGCTTGACTTGATGCCTAATTTTGTTTAGTGTTTAATTATTAATAGCCAGAGATTTAATTTACAATGAATTTTAAACCGAATTGTGTAGCTAAGCTAGATACTCATTTCTCAATCAATTAAGTATCGCACTGTCTTCTTGAGGACTGCTTTTGCTGCTTCAGATGTCAGAAACACGAAATTCTTATAACTCCTGTCAACAAAATTAAAGCAGAACTTATAGAACTTGGGAAGATAATACTTACACAGTTAAAGCAGAACTTACAGAGCTTTTAGAACCTTAAGAACTATCGGGAGGAAAGTCTGAGACATACCTGTAGGAATTACCCACCCACATAGGGATTGCAATTCGTTTAGTTTCGTCTTCCCTCACGAGCTTCTCGTTTCTTTTATGATGTTGTGTTTGAGAATAGTATGAATAGGGAGAGTAGCAGTTTTTCAGTTCTCCATTGAAAACGTGTTTCATATTTCTGAGAGTGTGAGAGTGGGAATTGTAAATTAACTTATTAAAAATGCTATTAATTGTGAAAGGTCAAATTTTTTTTGCTTTCATATATTAGGTATCTTACCAGTTATTAGGTATTGGTACAGTGTGTGTTCTCTTTCTAATATTAAAGTGGTCTCAAGTGACGAATGTCCTCACTCTCATAATTTGTTGAAACATATTTAGTTCTTTTTTTTTTTTTTTTTGTTATGCCCCACATGAGCTAAATCTTTGGTCCGCCACTAATTAATGTATCTGTACATTTTCTCTAAAACACAGATGCAGATAAGAATAAAGAAAAAATTTCTGTTAAAGACTCCGACGACCCATCTCACAAAAGTAGAGGCTGCTCAAGACTCTCAGACTCAACTCCAGCTTGAGGAGAAGAATACTCTTCCATCTTTTCTCAAGGAGGACAATAATCCCACATGCCTAGCCCGTCCTAAACTCATAATCAAGCCAGGCACATTTTCCTCTATGCCGTCTACTTGTCCAATTTGCTCTGAGTATGGACACTTTCCTGGTATGTGCCCCTGGAGGAAACGGCTCCCAAAGGGCGTAACTCAGGTTGGCAAGGGCTATGTAGTAAAGTGGGGGCGTGCTGTTTTTCTTGAGTGTGTTTATTGTTATGAGATTGGTACCCACATGCTTAATGACTGCCCGCATTTTAAAAAACTACTTGAGGAAAATGGAGGGGATGCGCCCTTGCACCTCTGTTTCCTCGGTCATAGACCACTTGCTGATTCCTGAAGCTGAGGAGGACTATGAAAATAGACTGCGTTTTCAAGTGAGTCGGTTTTACATATGGTATAGAAAAATGTGCAATTTTTTTTTATTGTTGTCATCAAATAAGGGTCATATTTAGCTGATTAAGAAGATATTCAATAACTATCTAATTAAATCAGCTCTTACATAAAATTTATAATGTCTGCGATCCCAAAAAATTGTCGTATGGAAAATATATGCATTTTTTGTTTCTTCTTTCTCTTCGTTCATTATTTTTCATTACGAGCAGGGCAAATCAAATTTTCAGACAAGGATGATGTTTTTGTACTACAATGTGTCCGAAAGGAGTGGACCAACAGTGGCTTGCCATGTTACAAAAGGTCAAACATGCAAACAAATTCAACTAGAAAAGTTCAATGTAATAGTCCACATCATTCGGCAGCGAATGTTTCCTCTTGCAAAGTTTGTCCATTGGGGTATAGCTCTGGAGAGCTGAGGGAGGCAGCAACACATATGAAACCAGCATATTTTCATTCTTTTTCTGCCTCGAAACAAGCATTTCATCAACCCTTGAAATTTTCCCAAACATTTTTTCGCACAATTACACAGATCTTCAGCATTTCGCTTGGAACTGTCACATTTCTTTTTTTTCCAATATATGGAACAATGCTACTCTTACTCATCCTCGAGTTTGAGTACTGATCAATGAGTGTAGCTTTCCTTGATCAACAAGTCTAGCTTTCGATTTTATCAGGTTTCTAGAACTAACAAAAGTTTTGTGATTTGGCAGGCCGGCCACTCGTGTAGAACAAGTAACTATTTATTACTTGTGTAGAACGTAATTGAGCATGAAGTATAAGTGTTAGTAATAAGAACTTGACGATTGAAAGAGCGAGATCGAGAATACAAGGGGGCCTGAACGGCTGAACCCAGGTGTTCTGGCTTACTTAGCTTATCCCCTCACTTGGTTATACAAATTGTTAACTTTAACTATGTAGTTGATACAACTTATTCTCAGTTCATGTAGATATGATTCGCTTATCTAAACTCCATATTATAATAGAACTCTCTTTGTCAACTAAAAGACGTGAAAAAATTATTTAGTTTTCTATCATAACAAAAAAGTTAAGGGTAGTAATGTAATTTCATAAAACATAATTTTGCTGTTTTTTGTTTAAGCATCACTTACAAATGATTTAAACATTTTTAATTTTAAAAATTAAAAAAAAAAAAAAAAAAACCTCCCTCCATCGCTCCTTACTCCCACATTCTCTTTCACTATCTTCCTCTTTCCTTCAATTTTAAAAACAAAAATGAGACATTTCACACACACTCTGTGTGTGGGCATACACTAGTTGTTTATTTATTTTAAAAGTTATTGTTGTTTTTTAATTTTGATACATGCTTTTGTACTCTTTTAATCTCAATAACTTCCATGTACACTCCAACTGGTCCTGCTAATAACGTTCATCTTACAAATAGATTATATTTTTTTCTATGTAATTTTTTTTTTTTCCTTCTGTTAAAGGAAAAACTTGTTGAATACCTGCCATCCGATTGGACTTAGTATGATGCAAGTGTCCAGAGCATTTCAGGCTTAGATATTCTTTTTCTGTTGTATTGAGGTATCACATATTTTGGCATATTCATAGGACCTCTCTACCTATGCTTGTCATCACCTAAGGGAAACTAATTTCTTGACTTATGATATGCAAGTTAAGGTGTCATTAGGGTTATTGTGTTCTTTCACTCTATATATGTCTGTTGGGGTTTTTGGAATTCTCAAATACGGACAGATCTTCGTGATGGAGAGGTCTGTTAGTACTTGCGTATTTAATTTTCATGCTTGTATGTTAAATCGAGTGATGACAGATATGAGATCGACATATATGTGAAAGTGCCTCATAAAGTTTTTTTTTATTTTATTTTTCTAAAAACAAGTTCTAGTTTTTGCAGGTTTGTGCTCTTTTGGTTGGTGGAAGTAAACTTTTACATACTTTCTCCAGGCATGGCTACTCTTATTCATCCTCGAGTAAGAGTAGCTTTTGACTATATCTTTAGTTTCTCTTAGGCATTTTTGTTCAATATGAATATTAGGACGTGTATCAAGTGAAAGTAACAAGTTTCAATCTGCCAGATTATACCTCTTGCTGAATCTGGAACAAAGATGGGGGACCGAATATAGCGGAATCGTGATGTCAAGAGACAGGATAAAGGATGGTGCGGTGCGGCTTAAAAATCAGAACTTGGGGAAGAGACGAATCGATATCTGTGAGTGTTGGGGTAGAAGAGAAAGAGTGTGTGTATGGCTGAGAAAACCAAACAATCGAAGTGAGAGCTGGCGACTCGATTAGGAAGGTTTATAATTGCTTCGCTGATGCTGTGTTTTATGTAAAATGGGGAAAAGAGAGGAGTGCTCAGATATCCTTGTTTTGCTTTTGGATGCTTTGATAAGTAGTGACAAACTGTTTTTTTTCATATGAATCAATATTTATTTTGTTTGTGCACATGTGATCGATTGCCTCTGTGACTAGGGCCTCTTCGTATTAATCTTATTGTATCCGAGTTCAAAACCTCTTCCGTTTTAGTGCAGTTTTAGACTAAAAGACAAATTCAAATTAAATACGCGGAAAAAGACCCAATTGATTGACTCTCATCCATCAATACTATTTTAAGAAAACACTCATTTTACCCTTTTTTTTTAACAAGTTTTAAAATAATTAAATGGGCCAAATCAGATAAATGATTTTAGTGGTCATAAGGTATTTGGATGATATGGTAAGAAAATTCAGATTTAAAATCTTGTAGTAAAGTTTTTTAAAATTTATTCCAAAATTTAACGTCTGTCCTTTTCCGTTAGCCTGCACGTGAGGGATCCCACTACCTGCATTAGAGTAGTTCCATCGGAGGTGGAATAGCCTAGCACCCTGTCCAAAACAAAGGCCAGCACCAGCACCCTGTCCAAGTGCTCCAGCCCGCAAAATAGTCTGGCACCCAGCCCAAGCCAGGCAACAGACCAACCTATTTCGGACAGACCCAGAAGCCGGCCTATTTGGCTGGCGCGTGCATAACACTCCCGACTAGGCGCGAGTAGGAGACAAGGGTGCAGGCGGCAAGGCCCGCTTGTCAGCCCACTTGTGTTTACCCGGATGAGGGCTACGTGGCCCTCCTCAAAGTCATTGGATTTCCAACGGTAAAAAAATTTTACGTTTGACTTTTAAAATGGACTGTCCGATCACAGATCAACGGTCCACGTTTTTTTCACCAAAAAAAAAAAAAGGCCCAACGGTCAGAATTTTGACCGTTGGCCACATGGCAGCTCTTGGCTCTTGGATTTGAATATTTTTCAAATCTAACGGTCCAGATTAATTGACAACATTAAAATTTATTAAAAATTATGAATTTTAAAAAAAAAAATACAGAAAAATTTTAAAAAATTAATTAATTTTTTCTATAAATACCTAACCCTCATCTTCCACCTTACACCACATTTCAATATTTTCTACACTTTCTACATTTGAATATTTTGTACACTTTGAGAGAAAAAATGACTTCATAGAAGCTCATTGAAGATGTTACGTTGTGTGAATGTTGGGTTCACACTATTCATGACCCGATTACGGGTAATGAGATGGATAAGCGAGAAATGTGGAGTAAAATTACGAAAGCGTTTTGCGATGTACATGGAAAAGATGCTAGATCTAGTCAAGGTCTTCAAGGTCGTTGGAAAAAACTCAACGCATCCGTTACTTGTTGGAAAAATGTCATCTCTCATGCTTCCAGCAATTTGCATAATGGGACAAGTTTAGCGGATCAGGTAACGATATTTTTATTTATTTATATGCATTCAATCCACATCAATATTTTAATTTATTTAATTTCTTATGTAATTTTTATGTAATTTCTTATGCAATTTCTTATGTAATTTCTTATGTAATTTATATGCCTCATCTCCACTCTCCACCTTCGTCAAGATTGACCAATTCTTCCTGTTGTGCCAACAACCTTTTCTACTGCTCTTGCAACTGTTTATACACTCTCCTTGAAGAAGACATTGTAAGAACTCAAGATTTGAAAACGATAAAGAAGGATTATGAGCTAAAAAAAAAAGATTGAGTTTAGTGTGAGGATGGATGTAGGGATGTAGGGTTTATATGGACAAAAAAAGAAAAGATGAGGTTTTGGACAATACCACGTGACACTACATGATTGGTTGAAAATCTTATTTAAATCTTGGCAAAATTATTGTAAACAGGAAGTGACACGTGACGTGTCGGGATTGGTTGAAAATCTTATCAGAAATCTATCTACAAAATAGTACGTTCGGATAATAACACGTGACGTGACAAGATTGGTTGAAAATCTTATCAAAATCTTGCATAAATTATTGTAAACAGGAAGTGACACGTGGTTTGTCGAGATTGGTTGAAAATCTTAGCGGAAATCTGTTCACAAAATAATACGTTCGGATAATGACACGTGGCGTAACGAGATTGGTTAAAAATCCTATCCGAAATTAAAACTATTTTTAAATTTATTATTTTATAAAAAAAATTATTTAATATTTTAAATGGACTGGGTGTCAGCGTATAGTCAAAGTTAGAAGGTGTATGGTTTTTTTTCCACTCTAGCCTACTTGCTAGCAGACCCCGTCGAAAGCTTAAGTTAAAGGTGTATGGTTTCTTTTCCAGTCTACTACCAAAGCAGCATTTTGATATCGATACGAAACCAAATTACCCATCAAACATATAATCAAAGAATTGCAAAAATTAGAGGTCCAGTTACAATATCTCAAATATTTAGGCAAAATTCCTACGAAACCCACATTTTCTTGGCACAATTCAAGAACATTAAAAAATTAATAAATTGGATGCAAGAACTAAATCAAGTCAATCAAATCCACGGTCAATTTGAATTGGCATAAAACAAATCACGAAATTAAACAGTTGAAATAGTAAACAAAATTCAACCCAAAACACCCAACTTTGTCACTCTCGAACCAAACAATTGCAAACCCAAATAAGAGAATACCAATTCAATCACAACAACAATTGAAAACAAAAACAAGAATTGGAATTCGTAAAAGATGAATTCAATCACAACAACAAACGACGGCAATTGAAGAACCAAACTGAAAGAGCGTGGGAAATTAGGAATCGATTTGGAGAGCGTTCCTTTCTGTGTTGAGTGATCGCCGTCAATCTCAAGAGTCGGTGGAAACTGGGTTTCTAGGTTGGAATGCAAGAATTGGAAAAATTGGGTTCAACGATTAAGGCGAATAAGAGGTTCATAGGGGGAGAGAGAGCGGAACAGTTTGGTCAATGAAACTCATGTGCAGCCTAACCGAGGAAGAACGAAAGTTTACACTATGTTTTGGACGGAAGAAATTAATTATTTTAATAATTCTAAATTTTTTATTAAGTGTTTAGTCACGTGACATAAATGTAGCAGTCACGTCAGCATAAATGAGAATCTCATATTTGCTATGTCATCACTTAACGGTTAATTTAACAGACTTTGTAACAGGTTATATGAAATTGAAATAAATATTATAATAAATATATAAAATTAAAATGTTTTAAATATATTATATAAAATTGTAATTGCACCGAAACCTAAGGAGATAAAATGCGATGTACCCAAAAAAAAGCACAAGACACGCATTTTGTGCGTTTGAGAATTTTCTGAATTGACAAACGGTCAATGATTATTTTTACACGCAAAATAAGTAAATAAATAAATAGAAACTAAGGAAAAGAAAGCATAATCTGTTAAGTGTGAAGGGTATTATAGTCAAATCCCTGAACGTTTAACTATCCCCAAAACTATTTCACTAAAATAAACAAAAGTTGTCGCCAAACCCAAACTCGTGCCCCCTTCTCTCCCTCTCTCTCTGACAAACGCAAAACCATGAAACGCCGGTTCGAAGGCGGACCAGGAGAACCCGCGGAGGGGGAGAGTCCAATTCCGGCCCAACCCACGAAGCTCCGAGGTGAGGTTCAGAGTCCTAGTATCGGTATGCTTTTCAATTTTAGTTTATAGGGTTTGTGAGAAGGACGATTATCTGTTTCAATTTTTGTTCTTAGGGTTTGTGTGGAGGAAGATTAGCAGCAGCATTATGTTTAATTAGGGTTTCATGCATTTCAATTGCGGCTGCATATGTTTTTAGGATTCCGGTGCTGGAATTTAATTAGGGTCCCAATTTTTTTCGGTGTTTAATTATTAATAGCTAGAGATTTATTTTACAATCAATTAAGTATTGCAACTTTGATTGGTTTTCCCAGTTACTGAGTAGAATTTTAAACCGAATTGTGTAGCTAAGCTAGATACTCATTTCTCAAGCAATTAAGTATCGCAGTTCTGTTTGATTTGGCCTGGCCGGCCACTCGTGCAGAAATATTTCAAGTAGCTATTTATTACCTGTGTAGAACGTAATTGAGCATGAAGTAGTAAAAAGTACTTGATGATTGAATGAGCGAGATCGAGAATACAAGTAAGGCCCTGAACCCAGATGTTCTGGCTTACTTAGCTTATACCCTCACTTGGTTATACAAAGAGTTAACTTTAACTATGTAGTTGATACAGCTTGTAGGCTAATAAGACTATAGGTTAATATTTGTGCGTTCACATAAAACAAATCTATACCGTTGAAAACTAAAATGCATTATTGGATAATTGTAAATTAACTTGTTAAAAATGCTATCAATTGTGAAAGGTCAAAATTTTTTACTTCATATTTTAGGTTTCTTACCAGTTATTAGTTATTGGTATAGTGTTTGTTCTCTTTCTAATATTGAAGTGGTCTCAAGTTACGAATGTCCTCACTCTCATAATTTGTTGAAACATATTCAGTTAATTTGGTTTTTTTTTTTTTTTTTTTTGAGCTAAATCTTTGGTTCGCCACTGATTAATGTATCAATGCTTTTCTCTAAAACACAGATGCAGGTAAGAATAAAGAAATAGATTCTGTTAAAGACTCTCCAACGACTCATCTCACAAAAGTAGAGGCTGCTCAAGACTCTCAGACTCAATTCCAGCTTGAGGAGGAGGATACTGTTCCAACTTTTCTCAAGGAGGACAATAATCCCACTTGCTTAGCTGATGAACTCATAAACAAGCCAGGCACATTTTCCTCTATGCCGTCTAGTTGTGAAATTTGCTCTAAGCCTGACCACTGGTATGATATGTGCCCCTGGAGGAAACGGCTCCCAAAAGGCGTTACTCAGGTTGGCAAGGGCTATGTAGTAGAGCGTGGTCGTGCTGTTCGCCTTGAGTGTGTTTATTGTCATGAGATTGGTACCCACATGCTTAATGACTGCCCGCATTTTAAAAAACTACTTGAGGAAAATGGAGGGGATGCGCCCTGGCACCTCTGTTTCCTCGGTCATAGACCACTTGCTGATTGCTGAAGCTGAGGAGGACTGGGTGCACGTGTGCTGCAGCTTTTGAATTACCATTTCATTTTAGTGCTTTAGGTTACATATATGTTGTTATCTTTTTCTTCTGCAACAGAGTTTGGGACTTCATCTACATTTCCTACCTCTTCAACTATCTCTTCAGTTGTTATCTTTTCCTTCTTCAAGCCATCTTCGCAAGGGTCATAGGGTCGAAAATAGCTTGAGGGTCGTAGGGTCGAAAATAGCTTGAACTGACACAAAAACCGTATCCAACTGAGGGTTAGGCCAAAGGGCTTGTGGATCCTATGGGACCAAAACCAGCCAATCAGGCTAGCAAGCTGACCATCTCCAGCCAGCCCACTTTTTTTTTTTTTTTTTTTTTTTTGAGGATATTTTTCGCCCAGCCTATTTTGTTTTTGGATGATTTTTTTTTTTTTTTACCAGCCTACTTTTTTTTTGGACATTTTTTTTTTAAATTCTAATTTTTTTCCTACACCATTTCTCACATACTTTTCACAATTCTATACTATCTTATCTCATTTCTAATAATCTTCCTATGTCCCAAAATCTTATTTTAATTTAATTAACTATATTAATTTAATTAAAATAATAAATTATGTTTGGCCTATGACTCTTTGGCCTTCCCAGTTGGAGATGATTTTTTGTCACAGAGCTATATTCGGCCTATGGCCTTTGGCTCATTCGATTGGAGATGATGTGAAATATGACCTGACAGTGTTCATTAAAATATAATTTTTTAGAGGGCTATAGGACCAAAGAGTCATTTGACCCCCTCCTTTCGTTGGAGATGGCCTAATAGATTACAAAGGGATTGACTTCCAAACCCTTCCGTATGGGAGCTGGCAGGAGGAGCTGCCCAGCAATTCAGTTTTCCTCGGTTATTATTGAGCTTGCTTTGGCAAATGTAGTGCAGAAGTTCGATCGGAAACTGCCAACATCAGCTGAAGATTTAGATATGGCTTGCGTAAAGGATCTCCTCTTGAACTCCATTGCTGTTCCACATCGATCGTCAGCTTGCAAGGGTTTGCATACATTGGGTATGCAGATCATATGGAGGCCTTGGCTACTCTTGTGGGTGTCCAGTTGGTGCAGCAGCTCTCTCAATAAATCCTGGATTTTGTTTCAAGGTCGATTATTTAAAGGTGGTCATACTGCTCCAGCAAGTACGTACCCTCTCTTTTTAGTTAGGCATTTTCTTATGTCTATGGTGATTGCTTGCTTAACCGCACTAATCACGTTGATCCAATTTTTGCCTATCAACATCATATGTGCCTGCTTTCATCATCTTCTTGATCTTCAGCGAAACAATAACAAATTAAGTAAATAATAATTTTAAAAACTTATCAAATATTTGAAGGATTTTAACAATACAAATATATACTCTGTGTGTTTGTGTGTAGATAATTAATTAACATTAATTAGTTCGCTAATCATCGATGTTTTCGCAGGATATGTTTACTGCGGGTACTGATACCACGCATACAACCCTAGAGTGGGCGATGGCTGAGCTTACAAGGCATCCAAGGGTCATTGATAAGTCACAGACTGAGGGGAGGGGAATAGTTGCAAGCAAAACAGATAGAGAGGATGATTTGGTCGAAATGCACTACTCGAAGGCGGTGATCAAGGAAACTCTTCAGTTACACCCCCCAGTTCCGCTACTGATTTCCAGGCTGTCGACCGGAGATGTGAAAATACATGGTTGCAACATTAAAGCCAATACACAAGTACTGGTCAATGTATGGCAGACTGCAAGAGATCCTAAGCGTACTAAAAACCGAACATCGAAAGTACCCTCTCGAGGCCGTTGTTGTCCCGTACAAAATTCCATCTTTCTGAAGGTGTAAGGTAGAGAGGGAGCTGTAGGGTTCCAACAAGTGGTTTAGATTGGATTTGCTGTATTTGGTGTTGTACTGGTTTAAGAAGTTGCCGTACTTCAGTAAATAACTATTAATTTCCGATCGTCCGTATTGGATAAATACTTTTGCTGTATTGTATCTGTATTCTTGTATTGGGTTAGACAAGAATGTATGTACTTTTGTATATGCTATCATATGCTTGTGCATCTTTTTTCGAATCCAATGACGCTACAAACATTAAGAAATTAGGGAAATAACAGCAATTAAACACAGTAGGTAGCAGGTGTTCCAAATTCTCGCACCGAGCCAATTCAATAAAATTTCAATGCAAGAGTCGAGAACAATACGATTGTATCCACACACTCAAAAAACTACCATGAAAGAATAGCACTTGGAAAAGAAAAGGACAATCTCGATACAAGTACTTCGGTTCTACACAAATTCGGAGAAAAGGAGAAATACAACTTAGTTTTATCTAATTAAAAGTGAAAACGCACAAGTTGCTATGCTGCTCTGAATTTCATTGTGACCGCATTCAAATTGCAGAAAGCCTACCTACAGGTCAATGACACGAGATAGCTTCTGGATACGGTTCAATAAGAAGTCCCCTTGCTTGATGGTTGCTTGGTACAGTGAATTCTTAGCATCAGGACGATTGGTTTCTAAAACACCGGCAACTTTGTCAATCTTGCAATGAAGCTTCCCTGCTGCAATGAAACGAGATAGCTCCCTGTATGTCGTAGAATGGGTTAGATACATACAGAAAGCACTTAAAAGTAAAATACTTAACAGCATCTCCACGAAATCAGGGACCATATTTTTTTGAACTATATAAAGTAAACCTGAAACGAGGTAACCATAAGACTCAGTCACTTACAGATCAATGAAATCCACGGTCACGCCAAAAGCTTTAGCCATAGCTTCAATAGTAACACTCTTGTAGGACTCCAAGAACTGAGAATAAACAGTAGTTCTGATCTCCCTCATGTAATACCTGAAGTGTGGGTGCAAATAACGGTCCAACTTTATCTGCTCTGTCAGGCCAGCTGAAAAACAAAAAAGAAAAGAAAGAAAGAAATTACAACTATGAAATTTATTGATTTGGTTGATATATGACAGGACCAAATTGAAGCTCAGGTAGCTTATGAACATGCAAACCAAAAGTCTAATATATCATGGCAATCATATAGATTAATATATCATGTCAGACATTTATCGCTGCATAGATCTACTTACCAAATGCTTTGAAAAATGATTTGTATTGGCAATCATATAGAGAGTTCAAAAACTCTGTAAGGTAGGGAATTTTCCCAATCACTGTCAATATTTCTGGAGCATCCACGACCTGAAACATATTGTTTGAAATTAATAATTGCTTGTAAGAACAAACATTACTAACACAATGGTAGAAACATATAAAACAAGAAGGCGAAATCACATAAACATGTGGTAAGAAAGCAGTTTACCTTTTGTTTTAAAGAAACTCTGTCCAACGATATAATGCTTGTAAGGACGGTATAAAATATGAAGATGTCATACGGAAATATCTCATAAGTGGTGAAGGTAGAAATGGAATCCAAGAACAGATCAGCAGCCTTCTTAAAATTGCGAGTGGACATGCAGTACAAGCCTTCATACACCTTTAAACGGTTCTTCCTTTCCCAATCACCTCCCTCTTCAAATAAACTGATATCATGATACAATGGTTACAAACAAAGCTCAACTACCAGATTTAAACAAAAAAATGCAGGTCACAGATCCATGTCACTAGTACTTACTTCTTCGCTTTGTCAATACTCTTAGAAATGAGGTCAAAATCCATGTAAAAGAAACCGAGTTGCAGTGTATAGAAGACCAAGTCCATCTTTTGCCCAACTGCAACTGTCTTGCTTTCCGTTACCTTGAGTTGTTCCAATGCTTTCTCCTAGGTTCATAAGGGAAGAAGTTTAAAGTCAAATTGGACAACACCACTAAAAGGGGGAAAATAAAAGGCAGATATGACTCGTGGAACAAATAAGTAACAACTTATATACCTTGTCGCCAATACGAATGAAAAACAGGGACTTGGCCAGATGAGCTTCTCGAACCTCGCTTTCCCCTAAGTTTTCTTCCGCATCAGCAATCCTAAACAAAGGCAACCAGATAAGCTATTTGGTAAAGGAAACTACTTGATCACAACAGCTATAATAATAGCACAAATAACAATGTTCTTCAAACTAGAAAATTCAAACACATATTGTCATTCTACTTAGGCCACTGTAAAAATCCCAACGGTTGGTCAACGTAGAACTCATACTCAATTAGCATCCAATCTCACAAAACTAAATCACCTGTGTGCCTAATTCAACAAGTTATCCAAGTTCTTTTCCGCATCAGCAATCCTAAACAAAGCCGACCATATAACTAGGTAACAGAAATTACTTGATCGCAATGGCTATAATAATAGTATAAACAACAATATTTTTCACACTATACAGTTCAAACAAATCTTGTCAACCTGCTTAATTAACAGTAAAACGCCCAACGGATTGCGAATAAGTCAATGGAGAAATCAGGCTTCATCAGCATCCGATCTAACAAAAATACATCACTTGTGTAAGCCTAGTTCAACAAGTTCCTAAGTAATTGCGAATTTTCATAGCTTCGAATCTCACAGTGAAGAGTTCAAAGCATAAATTTCAATCCCTATTCCTTTTTCTCACAATTCTCAGTAACCAAACAGAATCTGGACCAAAATCAAAATTAAAATTGGAAAAAAAAAAACCCAATAAAGCACTCACTTTTCATCAAGCTTCTTAAGCTCCTCCTGGTTCTTCGCCCTCATCGAGTCCATAACGCCCTGGTCCAGCTTGAGCACCGATTCGGCGACTAGGGTTTCGTACAACGGCGCCATATCTACAAAATCCCCCAAACCGAAACTCAATTCCCGATACGCAAAAACCGAAATTGAACTTACAGGCAATGCGAAAACCGGTTCAGTTTAGTAAAAAATCGGCGATGTTACCGTCGTCTTTGACGGAGGCAAAAACCTCCTCCCTGAGTTGGACCTTTTCGATGTCCGGGACATCGGAATGGGAGAGAAGGAAGAGTTTGTTTGCGAGCACGAGGTGCGGCTGCTGCGTCCCCTCTTGGGCTTCCATTTGGAATCGGTGGTGGAGACTCGGTCGGTGAGTTAGGTCTCCGAGTGGGGAGTTCTTTGTGTTTGCTTGAAGGAGGAGGAAGTGAAACGACAGTGTGTTTCGGCCTCGAGAGGGGTGTTTCTTCTCTCGCTCGGTGACAGGTTCGTCTTTTTCAACACGAAAGGTAAATTGGTAATTAAGGGAAGTAAAAGGTGGCTTTATAGTCTTTTTAGGACACGATAACTAGAGGTTGGCATTTGAACGGTGAACCGGACCGGATAGAACCGGAAAAATATTTAAAAAGTTGATCTTCAATTGAATTTGGTTACAAAAGTTAAAAAGTTACAAAATCGTATTTGACTCATAAATTCATAATGTGGCGGTGGAAGTTTCAATATATCTAGTGCATACCAAGTTAAATTTGCTTTTAATTTTTAACTCTTATGTATTAGAAGGGAATTTAAGTTCATTTTAAAGTTAAATATAGGAGTTTTTGTATCACATTTTTTTTTTTGAACAAATGATATTATCTACATTAAATAAGTAAGGGTGCGCTAAGTCTCACAATGAGTTAATAATAATATGGTTCAAATTCGCATTTTGCGAGAATCGAATCTAAGACCTCTAACTTACAAATGAAGAGAAATATCATTAGACTGTGGTACTAAGTGTAATAACATTTTAAGTCCAAAGTTATATTGAAAGGCAAATATAATTTCGCATTGAATATGATCTCAACTATTCCAGTACATTGTAGGCATGTTAAGTCAAAATTTAGGTAATTAGATACTTTCCGAATCTTCTTATTGGGGATCCGGGGAATTAATGAATAATAACCGTTCATCAAAGATCGTGCATCTATAATTGAATGTTTTTTATATTTTTAAAAGTAAAACACCTCGTTTTGCATGAAGAAATATTAAAAAAATTATGATCGCACGATTTTTGATGAACGATTATTATTCATTGATTCCCAGAATCCCCAATGAAAAGATCTAGAGATGATCTAATTCCAACATTTAGAGGTAAGTACAACTTTTGATTCCAAATTTTTCGGTTTTCTGAAGATAGCTTGACTTGAGCCACATGTTGATATATAAGTGATAACTCATTTTTCTTTTAAATCTAATATTAAAACCACGACATAATACTCCAATTTAATGATATTCTTACTCACTTGTCAATGAGAAATCTTGTTCTCGAATCATTTGTAGAGCCAAAACACCCACCTCTAAAGTTTAAATGGCGTATTCGTTGGGTCCACCCCCAATAGGAAATCGACAGTGGTGCTTCAAGGGCTGGGGGCTATTTTTGGCTACCAGTTTAAGTTCAACCTCTTGTCACATGATTTTACTCTATGATGCACGGTAAAAAAATTAATCGGTTATGGACTCGACCTTTCATTTGGTAATTGCAGATGAAACAAGAGTGGTTTTTCCGAGGGCCGATCGTAAGGTTTTAGAAGCTTTGTGCAAGACTCTGGACACAAATCCGTATAAAATCTAAATTTTGGTTGTTATATATATAAATATATATATATATATATTTTTTTGTACATAAATTGATATAGCGTAGTAAAAAAAAAAAAAAAAAAAGTAAAAATGATACTTGGTCTGAAACTCTTTAATTTTTAATAAAAAATAAAATAAAATATAAAAAGATGTGGAACTAGAGAACACTTACGCTAAAAGTTTAATTTGGTTATTAGGCCTTTAAATACACGCGAGCGCGCACACACACTCTTTATAAATAGGTAAAATAAAAATGTTTATCAAGGACCCTCCCAAACTAGGTGCCTGTGCGATGGCCCCACTTGCACATTCTCAAAACCGACTCTGGTTTCACTCCAAGGGCTAGGATTATTTTTGC